CCTCGCTTCCGGGACATTCTCTACATGACAAGGAGGCTCCGCTCAACACTGCTGCCCCGCTCGCTCAGTGCCTGCCCTCGGGGACAGTGAAGCCTTCTGCGAGGTTCCAGATCTCACCGAAACCAATGGGGGATTCAGCTGTCCCCTCTGGCAAATGATTTAAGCAGAATCCAAAACCCTTCAGGCCTCCAAGATGTCTAACCAACTGCTCTGCTTGGATGTCCCAGTACCATCGTTTGAAGAGAATAAACCCTTCAGATAGAAGCTGCCGAGGTGATAATATAAGAAACTGATTCCAGTTAAGACGGGTGAAAGCATTCAACCAATACTTGTCATGTTAACCCCTAGTATCCACCACAGAGTCTGCACTCAGCCCAGGGGACATGGCTGCTGACCCCAGAAACTCGCCGTCCAGCCCACCACACAGACGCAGGTCCCCTGTGCACCTGTCAGAGCAGAGCGCTGTGGCGATTTTCCCTGGGATTCAGGTGACGGTAATTCTTGACAACAAGCAGAGAGCAGGATGCTGAGTGGAACTGGGAAGAGACAGGTCCATTTTCAAGGAGTGTGGGGGTGGTTAGAAGGGGCAGCAGGTGGAGCAATTGAATCTGGAGGGACTGAGGGCAGCACAGGCAGTCAGCAAGGGCTCCACGAGCCCCGCTCACACCTTGCACAGCACACTGCTTTACAGTGAACAGAAAACGCCATTTACTTTAGCTCCCCTGGTGCCATAGACTGGGCGCATATTGTCCCCACGTGGATGCAACTCAGCTGAGGTGCTCAAAATCGTGCGCTCATTTGACGGTACACTAAGAATCAAACCCAGGTATTGATGCCCCCGAGCCCAGTGCTGGTTCTAGAGTGCCAAGGGGGCCGTGGTGAGGTGCACGCAGGCATGGCAGAGACACGTGCGTGGGGTGGGACCACTGCGGCCCTGCACAGCGGCTCTGGGCTTCAGAGCCGTGGGTCTCAGCTCTGGCTCCACATTGAAATACTGGAAGAGATTTGCTAAATGCCTGCACCTATGCCCACTCCAGAGATTTGACTCCATTGGCCGGGGGCCTGGCAGTGCCTTTGAGAAAGCATCCCGGCTAGTGCCAGTGTGCAGCCAGGCCAGCAGGGCCACTGGAGAAGCCTCTGTGCACCTGACCCGAGTCAATGCCTCCTGAGCCCTCATCGTCCCAGACAAGAGCCAAGTCCTTGCATGTCCCAAGTCCTCACTCCGCTCCGGCAACTTAAACTCTACAACGCAAAAGCATGCACTTGTCTTCAATAACCTGTTGGCCATTCTGCATTTCTGAATTTACACAAAAACAAAAGCTGCTGGTGGTGAGTGCAAAATACAGAGAAACACCCAGGAAAACCACAGGAAGTTGTCCTCGGGAGCTCGACTGCCCCACTGCATTGGCAAAGTCCTGCGGCTCAGCTTATTCATCAGCAGTAGGTAACCTCCGATACCAGGTTCCGAAAGGGTTTGCTCAGAACTCCTCACACAAATCCAGGGACATTCTAGAATAGAGTTATTAAGCACAGTCCCAGATCAGCAATCCTGGATCTGCAAAACTGATTATCCCGCCATATAAATAATGAAAACAACCACCACCGTATGTTGGCAGGGACTTTCCCCATTTATTGGAACAGTTACAGCAGCAGATCCTCTCTCTGTCCTGCCTCACCCCTCACAATGTTCATGATGTGATCCCAGTGAGGAACCAAAGCGAATGGAGAGGAGATTAAGGCCCATGGAGAAAGCACATCTGGCCATCATTTGTGCAACTGAAATAGCTTAATAGACACCAGCTGACCACACTGAGCACACCGGCTCCTTTCCTGGCGTGGGCACTGTTCAGACGCAGGACTTCTGCAGACTTGTCATATCTAATCTAACAGAAAGGCACAGAACATTTTTAACCCAACAGCAGATAATTGTAATGAAGTGATTCTGGCCAAAAGGGCCCATTTGCAATAATGAATTCAAATCAGATTCATAGAAGCTATAATTCAGACATAGTGAATACCACCATCATTTCCATCTCCTCTCTCTTCCAAGAAGGCAAAATAACTCCATTTTCAAATAATTATTTTTACTTTTCAAGTAGCCCTTTAAAGTAATTACAAGAAAGATAATATTGCCTCACTTATAGCTAATGAGTTTCATGCACCTTCAAAACTTCAGGGGCGTCTTTGCCACATCACTTCCCAGCATCCTTCAGTGCAAACACCTCTCACACGAAAACTCGTATCTGCAGGGAAGGAAATTCTCCTTCTCCACGCCAGGCAATTTCTCACTGGAAAATTCAAAGACGAACCCAGCTCTCTCCATTTCTTTGCTTTTCCTACTCAGTCTTTGGCCTCTGATGTGACTTTGTTCAAGATTCAGTCCCAGGCTTGGGATACTTTGATCCACAGAGGCCGTATTTGGAAAGGTTTCCTGTGGCTGAGAGGGTGGGAATTGGTCAATATGTTTCAATACATTCTGAACACTGATTTCCCAAACACTGACTTTCCAATGGAACGTCTGTGAGGAGACTAAAGAGTGACCATGCTTAAGAGTCACATTGTTTTAGAAGCAAGACACAGTAGAAAATGAAGCATGACATGTCTCTCTGGGTTTGAAGCCATGGACTTGCAGAGGCCGGGAACCTGGACTCGCCCTCTGGGCACTGACTAGTAAGTTCTTCGAGGTGGAAGCACAGCTGTTCACTGATAAACTGAAAGAGCAGGGGGGACAAAGGGACAAAGGCCGAGACCCCCAGAAATCTTCAGGAGATACTTACGTTATTTTAAGAAACACTGTATTAGTACCAAAACCGAAACTTGAGATGTCAGGGAATAACAAAAATTAAGTGATGAAGGCAAAAAGGAAGAAAATAAATTAGTATTTATTATTATTTTGCCTTTTGGAAAAAAACATTTAAAATGGAGGCATTTGGTTAAAAAATAAAAAACCCAAGAGGTGAAGAAAAAAAAAAGTGGATATAAAGAGATTAAAATGTGGACAAATGTGCTGAATTTCTCTATTTCAGGCCAAATTATACAGAGAAGAGAAGCAAAATCAACATAAGACATTAGCTTACTTTTTAAAAAATGGAGCATGCAATCAGGTAACAGATAACAGTTACACTTGCGCATGTAAGGTTTTTTTCCCCCCCTCTAAACAAAGCACAAAAAACAACTATTCAGCACTTCCTTTTTTCACTCCCATTCCCATTACCAAGCCCAGCTGCTAAACATTAGAATTGAAGATCATGAAAACAGGCCAGCAGCTAATAAAAAAAAAAAAAAAAAGGTAGATTGAAGCTGGCCCTCTGCTGGTGGAGCAGTCTTATTGCATCCTGGAAAGTTCAAGTTTTATTACTGGTTTAACTTTTTAGGGGAAGGCAGAGGGCAGAGGAATTTGGAAAGTCAGTACTGAGGTTTTATTCGATGCTGTGTCTCATCCCCCCTCCCCCCATAGGAGATTAGAAGATAAAGAGAGGTGTGTGGCAGTGTCAACATCCCTTCACACCTAGTAACACTGACCAGCATTTCCTAGGTGACCGTGCACGGGACCTGCTCTTACCCCCGGAACTACTGGTATCTTTGAGATCACTGGTCCCCTGCAAATGTGCAACCCGCAAGTCATTTCGCAGGGAGGGGACTCCCAAAACTTCTCTGAGGCAATGAAGTAGACACAGTGCACTCTACTCTGGGACAGGCTGAAAGATGCCAGGAGGTTTCCCTCCTGCTATCAGGGAAGGAGGTCTGGCTCTATCCTTTTTTTTCTCTTTCAAACTTGGGGCCCCTGAACACCAGGAATAGGTTCCAGGACCTATCCTCTAGCTCAAAAGGAAAAAAAGAACCACCCAAAGTGACAAAAATCCAACCTTAGCCCTTGGGCTTAGGAAAAAAAATAGCTGGTGTCCCAAGAGGCCTTTCCTTCCTTCCCCAGGGAGAGGCTTGTCTAGATGTAGAAAGAGTTCAACCAGGGGGCCCAAAAGAAGAATAGAAAGGAAAACCCCACCGTCGTCCTCTGTTCCTTGGAGAAGCCAGCATTTTTGGCTGCAGAATCTGGGGCAGAATGTTTTATTTTCACTATAACCATCAAAGTCACAGACAGGGCAAACACATTCACCCTGTGTACACTGTGAGCCAGAGTTAAGCTGGGACGTCCCTGAATCTGTCTCCTAGGACCAGAATTGCCTCATTAAAGGGATAAAAGATGATATCTGCTGAGCTGGTGGAAAGTTGTGGCTGCATTTTTATTAAAGTCTCTGCTGCAGCAGGTCCAGTCCCCAAAGGTTCATATTCCGAGCATTTCCATCCCTCTGCCTGGAGCATGTAAGTGATTCTCTGTAACTCATTAAGGTAAAACAAAAAGCGTTCCTATTGTGTTTTTTTGCACAGGAGTGATGTCCTTGCATAAAAGCTACATGTTTCCTCTCCTTGGCCCGAGCCTGCAAAGATAAAACTGCCCTCATAATTTATGATCGGGGCCCAGGAGCACCTCGCAGGGTTGACATGGATGGCTGCATCTTGAGCAGACTCATAAGGGGCCATGGCCCAGCACTAGCAATTCCAGAGCCTGGAAATTTCGGTATCTCTCTGAGAGGGGCAAGCAAGCCCTTCCTGAGCATTTCCTGCCTCGTCACATACCTCGCAGCATGTGAGACAGCCACTCAGGCACCCAGCACCTTAGGCTAACCCCAGGGTTTCCATGCCAAGGCTCCCCTGTTCTCTGAGCGCGGTGCCAAGGCCAAAGTGAATCTAGCCATATCGCAGACTCATAGCTACAAGGACTCCCAAGCATGGACTTCAGTGTTCACTCCTAAGATCCTGGACCAGAGAAGCTAGAGCAAACGACACACCTGTCCAGTAGAATGGTGTCAGCAACCACTGGATGCAGCGGGGCACCTCCTGAGCCTGCAAAGGCTCCTCCCAAGCTTTCTGCCCTCTTGCTCACCCTTGCCCACATTATCACATCCCAGAGCCTCAGTCCCCGCTGAAGTACGGCTCCCTACCTGAGGGTGGCGCTCTCCCCCTGCCGGACCGTCACGTTGTCCATAGCTTTGGGGAAGGTGGCATCTCCGCTGCGCACGGGCACTCCTGTGGGTACAAGGAACAGCAGCCTGAGAGACACGACCACGAGGCACTTCCAGGGCAGGAACAGGTACCCACAGACCCCCATCCTCGACAGCCACAACTTCCCAGAACGCGGCAGGTCCCGGTGCCCGCCCCACACGGCGGTGTCAGGAGCGGTGTGGGGGGAGAGGGCCGGCTGGAGCAAGCCAGAGCAGAGAGGGAGAAGAAGCGAGTCCAGGCTCTCCGGAGTCTAATGATTCTTCCTCAGATCCTGCCTCAGCTTTCCAGCCTGGCAGGACCAGATGCCCCTCCTGCGTCCAAAGCGAGCGGTCCGAGGCTCTCCTGGGGAGGAGGGAGGCAGCCCGGACGGGAGAGGAGGAAGGAAGCTGCAAGGACGAAGGTCACGGATTGTTCTTGCTCTGCCTCTCTCTTCAAGACGCTACTTTAAAATGCAGTTGGGCACGTTCTGCAGAGGTCTGGCATCAAAAGTTTATAACCCAAAGAAGCCAGGCAAGTGTCTGACATAAAGGAGAAGTCATAAAAAGCTGCTGCCTCAAAGAGAGGAGACAATGTTTTATTAGATCACACATATGTATAGGTATATTTATGAACAGCCCAAGTCTCGAATCTGGAACCCGAAGGCGCTAAAAAGTTCCACCGGCGACAGAGGCCGGCTGGGCGCTGGGAGCCCGGGCGCCGCGATGTTCTGCACGCAGCCCGGGCGGCGACTGGCGACCAGCCGGGCCCGCGCTGCCAGCCCGCGGAGCGCCGCCCGGCGCAGACTCGGGGCGCAGGGGAGCTGGGCGGACGGCGCCCCCGCCTCCTCCGGGGACGCGAGGACGCGCGACGCCACGTTCAGGAGCCACCCCCGGCCTCCGCGCCGCCTTCCTCCACGGAGCAGCCCCGAAGCCACGGCCCCGCCGCGGGGTTGTCATGGCAGCAGCTCCATCACTGACCGCCACTTTCTCCGGTGCCCGCGCGAGCGGGCGGGCGTCCACCTTAACCCCCACGGCGCCGCGCCCACACGGGCAGGGAGCTCGCAGGGGTGAGGCGACACCTCGTCGGGCTCAACTGTCCCCGACCCGAGGGCCAGTGAGAGAAAGGTGCGCCCTGCTGGTGGCTCAGCTGCTGGCGGGAGGGGCTGGGGTGTTGCTGGGAGGAGCGATGGCGGGCGGGAGAGGGAGTTTTGGGGAAAGCGGCACATTGAGAACTGATGCTCGAACCTTCCCTCCCCATGCCAAAGCAGAAGTTGCCAAACTCCGCCCTGGAGAGCCGCTGCGTTTCCCAGGACGGGTGGCTGAACCGGTGTGCAAGTCCAGCCCGTCCCTCCCTGGCGACCTGCAGTCCCACAGCAGGGCTCTGGGGCCTTGTCCTGCTCTGATGACTCACCTGGGCAGTGCTCATGGCCCTGACTTGCTGTCTCTCAAGGGGACAGTGCTGGGTTCCTGCTTACCACACGACACGCACCCAGTCCTGGTCCTACTCCATGCTTATTACTCACCTATCTTGTTTATAAAAAGACAAAGTGAGAGCTGGGAAAAAAACCCACAGGGATTCTAAAAAGTATGAGGACCGCTTTTCAGTGGCATTACCACCAGAACATGATGTGGTACCACAGTGGTACTGGGAGGGGACTTGGTGATAGAGCCTTCTCAGAGGCCAGACTACCACTTTGTTTGGGGCTCACATTAACTTCTTTCAGTTTCTAAGTGGAGAAGCCAGGTTCCCCCCTTACTGCGCATGGTGATTTAATGGCTGTATCATCACTTCGTGGTTGTATCAATTTAATGATCGCCATGTGCATTTGCTTTACTGTATTCTTTCTCAAATCCTCTCATTAAATTACACCAGGCACTGACTAATTGTTACAATGAAATTTAATTGAAAACTAAGTTTTAAACTTTTATCATTTGTTACTTCACTTGCTGAATGATACAGCGCCATGCTACCTGCTCTGTTATGAGGGCTGCACAGGTAAATCTTGCCCACCTTCCCTGTAAAAGGGTAGCCCACAAACACTTTTGGGTCTAAAGTTTTTCATCAGAGCATCATACCTCGGGAAGAATACTTGTCACTAGTCATGCCACATACGTTTCGTATGTTTTAATACAATGAAAACACATTGTAGGAGCTATAATACAAGCTTCTCGGCTACAGGGCTGAGATCGGTAATGATGCTGAGGGGAGAGGCTGAGCGCTCAGACAGCAGCCAAACAAACCCCTTACTGGGGGTTTCAATGACATGCCTTTCCTGAAGATTTGAGTGGCCCTGGGTTTTCTGTGCACACATTGCACCTAATCCTCTAAATTCTGAGATGCGCTTGTCAATTATCACCAGACTGGAAGGGCTTTCTCAGTGCGTTAACCTGTGTATAGCTGAGAACGAGAGACTGTGCTTACGATTTTCTTCAATTACAGAGTGTGTATCCTGAACACTGGGTGTGTGTGTCGGGGGGGTGGTAGCGTGGGGTTGGGTCTGGCGGCCACACAAGTCACGCAGCTCCTCCCACTTGCTCATTGGGTGCTCAGATGACATTCTCTATCATGCACCTGCTGGCTGTGGTGTTGGTCAGGAGATGCCAACGGGGCAGCTGCTAAACTCTATGTGGGCTCATAGAGAATTGCTGGAGATGGAAGTATCGGGGAAGAAACCAGAGAAGGTCAGGGCATGAGATCCGGGTGGGGAAAGAAGAGCTGGGCAGAAAAGGAAGAGTCAAAGAGAGGATAAGGGAGCACTAGGTAGCCCTAATAATATGCAGTGGACCTTGCTGAGGAAGGAGGGAGGAACCACGTCCCATTGCCTGTTCTGCAGGGCTGGCTCCTCCTAACTGTGGAATCTGGCATCCTAGAGAACAGGGCCGTGTTCTCTTGGGTAAGTTGGTTTCCTAGTTCAACTTTAAAAAAAAAAAAAGTTTCTTCTTTATTGATTTTAGAGAGAGAGGAAAGGAGAGGAAGAGAGAGACAGAAACATCGATGAGAGAGAAACATTGATTGGCCGCCTCCTGCATGCCCCCCACTGCGGATCGGGCCCACAACCTGGACATGTGTCCTGACCGGGAATCGAACCGGTGACCTCTTGGTGCATGGGGCACCGCTCAAGCACTGAGCCACACCGGCCGGGCTAGTTCAACATTTTTGAGTGAATAAATGGGCTGAACTCAAGGGCTAGTTAGTTAGAGAAATGACTACAGCAGTCTCCCCCGTGTGTTGATCTATGTCCGTGGACAGTTTTATGGGGGAGACTTTGCTCCTCTGCAAGGCATTGCGAGGGACCAGTACATTCACTTATACACTAGAAATCCAAACAGATCAAAATGAAAAAGAAAAAGGCGTGAGATTCACCATGAACAAAGCACTTTGTTTATATCAGGAGTTTTTAAGGAATGCTTAGCTGAGGACCACAATAGGGACCCCCCCAGTTGAACCCCCTTTGCACATATGACAACATGTATGAAGACAAATCATGCGAGGACAAGGGAAAGCACTGATTGTGCAGGAGGTTCTGAGGTCGGACTGTCTCTTCAGACCGACTGAACCCGCCAGCTGTGTGGGTGATGCGTTAGAATGTCTATCTCACCCGCCTCTTAGGGTTTAGGGCGCCATGAAATGTCCCCGAGATTTCGTCTTAAGGTATGGTAAGATGACAGACATGGAGACAATGCCTTGGAAAGATAGTGTATTACTGAGCAGGGCCACATGGCGAGGCACCAGGGTGAGTCAGGAAGCAGAAGGAGCAGGAGGAAGCCGGGCTCAGAGCCTTTACCGTGCTTTCCAGGAGAAGGAATGGGCGGGGCCGGGTAGACACGTGGGTTTGGGATTGGAGCACTAGAATAACTGTGGCATGCTCTTGGCTACAGGGGTGGCCTCTAGCTGCCAGTCCGCAGTCCTGGGGTGAGCTGGGGCAGGGGGCATATTGGTGTGGAGTGTGGCAGTTGGGTAAAAGCAGCAGTTGGAAATGCTGGTTGGTTTGCATTTGGAAGGGGTGCTGAGGGCAGGTTGTTTGCTGTCTCTAGGAATTAGCTGGCCCTGAGAGGGGCAGGCTCTCCAGAATTCGGAGAGATCGCAAGATGTCCATGCATCATAAAATACAGAGAGTAAGTAACATAATTAATACTGGGTGACAGTTAAAGAGGTGATATATGCAACACATCATCAAAGGACTTGACGCAGTGGACGTTTTTAGTAATCATACATTACGATCCTGTAGTATAGCTCCCACTTTCTTGATAGCAAATTAATATGTAAAAAGATATCAGTAAACGAATGCCAATGCTCTACGTATAAACTAGAACTGTGATTCAGACCCACAGACATCTTCGTAGCTAGGGTGATTTGTAATAGCAAGTACAGACTGGGGGCCAGGACAATCACACTGGAAAACTTGTAGCAGAGGGTGAGCTCTCTGACTGGTCAAGTTCCGAAACGTCACGTTCGCTGCTGGGAAGAGAACGCATTGCAGGTGAAGGGCGGCAGTGAGAGAAGAGGGAATGGACAGTGGTGGTGATGGGGGTGGAGACGACGGAGAGGTCAGGTGCACATTTTGGAAACACCACCGTGTTCAGGACTTCCTGAGAGTTTGGATGTGGGAGCTGAAGAACAGGAAGGGATTGAGGATGATTCATAAGTGTAGTTGGTAACTGGGTGGTAGAATTTCCTGTGAATTTCTAGGACTGATGTTTCTGTCCCATATTGATGTCTCTCTCTCTCCCCACCCCACACCCCCCCCGAAGGACATGTTTAGAGAGGCAGGGTTGAAAGAGTGAAGAAAAAGCTGTGTGAGACAGCTAAATGGAGATGTCAGGTTTGGCAGTGTGAGAAAGAGTCTGAGGCTTACAGTGAGGACAGAAGGTAATGTCTCAACCAAAACCTGCTTTCAAGCTGACTGGCAGAAAAAGGTGCAAAATTCTTTCTGCTGTGTGTGTGTGTGGGGGGGGGGGCATGCTATCCATGGAACCCACATCCCAGATGAGAGACACTTGTTTGTAAAGTTAAAAATAGACCCCACTCACCCTGGCCGGTTTAGCTCAGCAGTTGGAGCATCCGCCGAAGGACCAAAGAGTCCCGGGTTCAAGGGCACTAACTTCAGTTATGGTTAGATCCCTGGGCCTGGTTGGGGTCGTGCGGAGGCAACCAGTTGATGTGTCTCTCTCAGGTCGATGTTTCTCTCTGTCTTTTCCTCTTTCCTTTCCTCCCTCCCACTCCATTGGAAAAATATCCTTGGGTGAGGATTGAAAAAAAAAAATGAACCTGTTCATCTTAACTTAAGAACCTAAGTTATTCACCCTGGCCTGTTTGGCTCAGCGGTTGGAACATCAGCCTGTGAACCAGAGAGTCCCGGGTTCGGTTCCTGTCAGAGGCATGTACCGAAAAAAAAAGGACCTAAGTTATTCAACTTTCAACTGTCTCTTAACATATTTTCTTTGCTTGTTCACATCTCAGTTTTTGAGAGTAGATTCTAAGACTGTGGGGATGAGGCCATGAAGTGATCAGTGTGTTTTGTGCTGCACACTTACTGTCAGTGTGAGTCACGTGAGTCTGGTGTTTCCTAACTTACCAGCGAGACTCCCTCAACGGAAAGCCCCTCCCTGTTCTACAGGACGTGGGCAGGACGAGAACATGGCACTGAACTAAGTTGGAATCCCACCTCTCAATTCACT